GCGTACGAAGTTGCCTGGGTCGGATTGGAGCTTGTCCCCGAATCGACTTGTCCACGTGCTTCGAGGACCAGGGATTTTTCAGATGTCCTGGATCTGCCCTTCTGATCCCGCCGTCCTCCCCAACTTGCCCAATTTATCCCCCTACATCCTGCTTGACCAACCCAAGCTATCCAACTCAGATTCGGCCGCCCATTCAACCTACCAAGTCAAGTTTCCCTTACAACCAATTCACGCACCAATCCAATTCATCAACTCCAGCACAACTTGCTGATTCATCACACCAACCCATCCTAGAATGGCCCAATCTAGACTGCTTCACCCATCAGTTGAAGTCATTTTGGTGGCTGGCTTGATTCACGGCTTGTCATCTCTTTGCGGGCCAAGTTGCTTGATCAAGCTGCCGGACAGCTCGGAAGAGAAGTGCGTGAAGAAGTGCGAAACTGGCGATGTCTTTGGTGCTGTCCTCAGAGCCCTCTGCTTTGATGGCCGTGTTCCTCCAATTGGCTTTGGGTCCCCCCCCATTCTCACAACTCCTGGGTCCCTCAGACCAAATTCGTGTCTAGGCGAGTTGGCGCTGCTGTACAACTGCCCTCGCGCTGCTTCCGTGGAAGCAAAGGACCGGAGAAAGGGTGCAATACTTGCAATGCCTTGACAGGGCGATCATTAAGGATATACCCGTCTCTTTGAGGCCATCTCAGTTTCGGGTTGGCAATCTATCCCTTTGCAGCCCAAAAAAAACTGGCTGTCTTTGTTGCGATTGGCAAAGACATGTTTCTGCGAGATATTTGCTTGCATAATTTGGTGGAGCGAGGTTAGTTTTGTCCAGCCATGGGCAGAAGGATTAAACACCAGCATCGACCCAGTTAATTCCTTGGCTTATACTGCTCCCAATAGATGGGTCATCCTGCCGCGTGTGTCCAATCGGCCTATGCGCTCCAAACGGAGTCGTCTTGTCCAGGAGGGTTGTGTCCTGTGGCAGCTGGACCGCGATACCTTCAATCACATTGCCCTCAGCTCGGAGTGCAAGCCATCAGTTGAGCTGGCATTGTGTTCGCGTTGCACCAGGGGTGCTCCAATTGCAAGTTTGCACTTGGCGGGCCCCAGCCCCCCAAACATCGCTTAGCCAATGCGTTTGCAATTGTGGCCTGGCGATTGCGTAGAGACTCACATGGAACGAACTTGATCGGCTATATCAGCTTTGGCTTGGCTTGCCGCAGGTCAAGGAAGCTGCAGAGAAGAAGCGCCAGCGCTACGACAACTTCCTTGCAAAGGCTCAGTGTTTGCTCAGCATGTCCTCACCTTCAAAGCCAGCTTAAGCCAATTTCGCCTGGCAAACAGGTCCCCTTGTTGTCCTCCATGGACGCTTATGAGCGCTCGCAGCTGGCTGATGCCGTGAAGGCAAGGCCTTGCGCAAGGAACAACAGTAGATTTCACAGTCAAAATAGGGGTGCAGAAAATGGGCGGTTTCCTTTTGGTTTCCAATTAAATTCCAACCAAACGGGATCCACCATTTGGAGACAGTTCCCCTCAGTTTCTGATTTCTTGGTGTGTTTTTTTGTGAGTGCCACCCCTGCACTTCCATTGTTTTGACACCGGGAGTGTGAGGTGGAGCACTTCCAAGAAGGCGACAAGATCATCATTGAGGGTGAGCCTGGAGACAAGTTCTACATCATCGAGGACTGGACTTTCGGGTGACAGCACGTTTCTTTGGTTCCATGGAGTTGCACCGCAGAAGAGCTTGACGTGCGCCAGTCGTGGCAGTCAAGGGAAAAGCGCTTTGCTGATTCCTAGATTCAGCTTGGCTCCCACAAGCCTTGGGACCAAGCAAAGGGTTACGCGCAAGGCTTGTTTGCAACGAGGGAAAAGGTCCGGTGCAAGGTTTCATTTTGCTTACACATGTCTCATCTCGTCGTTTCTTTTTGAGTCAGGTTGGTGTTTTGTTATCTTACACTGGTTGCCTTTCCCTGTCGAGTCCCGATTTTAGTGGTTGCCGCTGGCAGGACGGCTCCGCGATCGCCACCAAGGGAGGAACGGAGGTGATGAAGTACACAGCCGGGGATTACTTTGGCGAGCTGGCGCGGAATCCGGGAAACTTGGGGCAAGGCCACCAAAGCGATTTCTTAGGAGAGACCCTTGTTGGATTGGTGCGAACAAGGGTCCTCTGTTTTGAGAAATTCCTATTTGCTACAGGCAAGAATCTTTTCCCAGCGGGTGCTAGATGAGCATGTCATGACTCGCGATGTTGTATCTTGTTGTTCTTTGAACTGGCATTTGAGGCAAGTGGAAGTTTGAAATTAGCAGTTTTCCTATTTGCCCCTGTTTGCTTTGAGTTGTTTTCATGCATGGTGGTATCACATCAGGCTTGCCTTTTGTGAGGCTCTGATCAACAACAAGCCGCGTGCTGCAACTGTGACTGCGAAGGGCGAGGCACGGCCTGGCAAAGGGTTCCGAAGAGTGCGCCCAGGACGTTCAATGCCATTAGAGATGTAGGCCAGAATGCGGCGGATCTTCAGTCTAGAAGGCCCGTAGATATTGCGGGATGACCAACTGTAATGTGTGTTTGTATGCAGTGAAATCCCAGATTGATTAGCGCCCGCCAAACCACCAACAGCATGTCCTCGCACGTCTTCAGGAATGTCTGCCGGGTGCAACTCCATCCAAAGGAAGCTATGCTCTGTACGCTGTGATCATCCCATGCAAGCGAGAGTTTCTGCACAACTGAGCAGTGCCCGACACGCTGTCCGCCCTGTCGGTCACTGAAGCAATACTTAGCAAACAAAGATCTCCATGGATTATTCGGCTTCGTAGGCCGAAAGCCTTACAAGGTAGGTTGTTGCTCCCGTAGAGATCGACGACGCCCAAAACGCATCGCAGAGCATAGTGTCCTTCTTTAAGCAACAGGCAAAACCCGAGCATTTGAACCGGCGTTCTGACAAGTTGTTGAACAAAGCAGCAACCACTGAGCCGCAATCAAAATGGAGGGCTAGGGGGTAAGCTCCAGCAATGAATCGGTGCGGCCACCCACCCTATTGCTATATTTTGTTCGGGTTTGTGTTGTGATTCTGACTCATTTGTTGGGTATGAGCCGGGTAGAATCTCAGAACCGAGCTCAAATTTCCCGCAAGGCTCGTCTCCTCAGCATCGACAGCCGCAGCTTCAAGCGCCGCGGGCCCATGGATTGGGGCGTGTTACTCGATCTTTGGTTGGGGTTTGTTTGTGGGCGAAACGATACACATGTTGCAGGGAAGCAATCTTGGTGCAAACCTCGCACATTGCTCTTGCAGGAGCTCAGGCTTTGCGGGTGGAATTATGACTTGCATTGTCATTCAGATATCTGTGCAGTAAGAATAACGCACACACAACCACACATGCACCGGTTTTTGATCCCTGAGTCGACTCCACGCCAACCGGTTCAACCTGGGAAGCACAACAGCCAAACATCCTGGACCCCGCGTTCAACATGCACACTGTTTCAACCTTTGCGTCAACCAGTGCTGTGTTGAGGTCATTCGTGGGAGTAAAATAACTTCATCGAACCCGGACTAAGGACTCCTTTCTCGTGGGAGCCAGTTATCCCATACGCTTCTGCGTTTCTCGCGGAGCTTTTACCCCGCTGCCCTGCCGTGTGTTCGATCAGGGCTTCTTCGCTGAGGCTTGATCAACGTCAACGAGCTGATGGCCAAGTCTTCCAAGTGCCCTGCAGTTGGCTCTTTGCACACCTTCCAGTTAAGATGGGTGATGATGGTGTTAAGATGAGGCAGTGCAGCAAACATTTGGAAGGCTAGCAGACACAGGCTCCAGGAACGGCCTACGCTTTGCTGCTTTGCTCTGCAACACCTTCCCAATCTACCTCAGCCAGACCCGCTGGCAGATAAAATCTACCATTGTGTCCCACACTGCCTGGATCGCAGTACGACGCAGGTACGAGTAAGAGGCAACCGGCGCAAAGACTCAAGGCTGGAGAAACGACCCGATGAGATCAATCCTCTATCCGCAGACCATTTTCAGCCATAGCCAACCCTTCCGCATGTTCATTGTGTTTCTCAACAACACGCCCCTTTGTTCTAAGTGAATATAGGCGCAAAGGGGCATTTAAGTTTTGCTCTAGCTGCTGAGAGTCGGCGCCCCAGCGCGCCCCAGCACCCCATCTGACTCTGGCAGGCCTGTCTCAATGGCACTGCATCCTGATCCATGCGATCCCGCAATGTGGCAGCTGTTGCACCCTATTTGGGACTGCAACTTGTACTTTTGCTGCCGGCTGCTTTCAGCAGTGTGATCACCTCTATGTCGTTTGGCTTTTGTTGCTCGCGTTTCAAGCGCGCCCCTTGCTTTTCTACTTGACAACACTTGAAACGGGAGCAATAATGCCTAAGTCCACGTTTCAGCTTTCATCTCACCAGGATGCAGCTGCTCCGGTGGATTCAGCACCTGTCACGGTTTCATTCCGATTCACAAACCATCAAGACCGCACGTGCGAACAGAGGCCAGGCAAGGAACCCGCACAAGAAACAGCAGAAACTGAGCGGTAACATAAGTTCGAGCAGCTGCTTGCATAGCAATTGATGCCTTTCAGGCTGTGACTGCTTTGCTTTGTCAGAGGGCTGAGGGGATTTGTCCGGTGCCTTGCTGGTGTTTCAATGGAATGGGCATGAGCTTTTGACTCCAAGTAAGTCCCACATCGACGATTTGAATCAGCAGGGCATTTGTTGCTGCGAGCAGCACCACGTGACTTTGTCCCGTGTGGGGCCTGGTGAGCTGTGAATAGCATACTGACCACGGCCTGTCTGAGTCAAAAAGGCAAAGGCGCGTCAGCAGTGCGCTTTGAGTGTCTCTGGGTTTAGACTGGCCTAAAGCGGCTTGGGCGGTTTCTCTCCTTTAGGCCCTTTGGTCCTCTTTATGTGCTGCACTCTTTGCTCTGTTTGCAATCTCTTGCGCTTATCCTGTCCATTTGTATTCTTGCACTCGAGTGCTCCTTTTCTGGGGCAGCGTTTGTCGGCAAGGGTGCGCTGACAGAGATTCGTCGAGATGTCCGCGCAGAGGGCCAGCAGGCTTTGAGGGGTTGGTGGGGGGGCGCTTGCTCTGCTGCCATTCCTTATCAGGGCCTTTCCCCGCCTTTCCCCTTGAAGAAAGGATTTCTCACTGGAGGGTGTTTTGTAGGGGTCAACATACAGCAAAAGAGGTGTCCCTACGTTTGTTTCACTTGGGAACTATAACTTGTATCGAATGGGTCCAATTGCCATCCCGTTTCAATTCGGAAGGTGCTGACGCTGGAGCGGCAGCTGGCGGAGTGCAAGGAGGAGCTCGCGCGGCAGGTGGATGTACGAGCGGAGGCAATGGTTGGCCCCGGGGACTTGACCAACCGAGGACTTTGTTTTCCTTTTTCGCAACAATGAAACTGTGGACATGGAGAAGCCGCCTGGTCAATGGCAGTCTTCCAAAGTCCTCCTCTTCACTTCCATGCTTGTTGGAAAGAGGACAACTGGAGGCGCCAAGTAAACTGTGCACTGATGCCAAGTGAAAAATGATTTTCTCACAAAACAACGAGTCTTTGAACAGATTATCGATCCTTGAGTCTCCAATGCTCATGTTTTGCTCGCTAAGAATCCTGAATCTGACCTTGGGTGTTCCCTCTGTGTGTGTGCGTTGGCGTGCCGGCATGATTCCTTGCGTGCGGCATGGGCCGGCGGGTGGGCGGGTAGGTGGGTGTCTGCGGGTATCGATGGGTGAGACTGTGTCTTTGTGTGTGTGTGTGTGTGTGTCGGGTGTTTGTGTACCTTCTTTTTTATTTGCGTGTGTTCATTGGTCCATGTGAGAGTCTGAGGCAATCGCTTTGTGTAGCTTGTGTTTCCAGTCGGTTCAGCTGTCATGACTGGGCATGTTCCTTGGTTATGCTGCAATCGTGCAAAGTGGAGGGAACCCACGATTTTAAAGCGGGATTGGACATGACGGGTATTGGCATTGGCATTTTGATTTGCCACGGTCACGTGTGGATTGTGCAATGCTTGCCACCGAACATATATATAATATAATATAATTATAGGTATACATTTAATATTCACCGCATATACAGGCTTTTGCGATCTGCCAGGGACTGAAATCGCATGTTGGAGAAGCCGAGCCCGGTGCAGGCCATGAGGTGTAACTCTCAGCTTCAGAGAGATGCTTCTGAGCACTGCTGCCACGTTGCGAAGGGGCCGATTAGTCGAGGTTCTTGACGCATCTTTTGCTGCTTGCTTGAAAGTGTCCTTCCAGCAATGTGCTGCATCCACAATTGTCTCATTCCGAGGGATTGAATCATTGCCGCGCTTTGAGCCCCGTGGGTCCATGGCAGGCTTGGCCGGCGGTTGGATACTCTTGAGCACTCCCAGGAAGAGTCAGTCCAGAGCTCAAAGGCGGCCGTCTTCGAACCGTTTGTTGCCTGGGAAGACGGATTCTTTGATCCATACACGCCGCTGGCCCATCTCAAATAGCTGACTGCCCAGTCTCCCTGTTTGCCTCTTTGTCTGTGCCTCAAGGTCAGCAAAAGTCGTGACCTGCGGGAAACTTCCCGGTCTGTGAGCGATCGAGTTGCAGAGCTGGAGGCCAGAAGCATCGGCCAGCTTGATACAAGTAGCTGAGTTGTTGAACACGTGTTGGCCTGGGGAGTATGGCACAAAGATGACAAGCTGGAGCCTTGAGGCTTTTCCCCCTATGAGACTAGAAATTTGCGAGTCTGACCATGAGCCATGATCATCACCATCAATGCTTTGGATGCCGATCTCTCGGCGCGCGGAACAATAAGCATCAGTCTCCAGCAACACTTCGGCCGGGAAGCCGCCTGACCCGGGCATTGCCTGACCGGGCTGTTTAAAGGCAGTCCTTAATCACCTTAATCCTTGGGTTACGCGTGCGGGGTCCCCTTGCAGTCGTTCGTCCTTCTCCTTGCAGTTACGCTTGGGCCGCTATGGCCAATATTGAAGGCCGCCTTTCCAGGAGCGGCTTGTGCGGTCCTCGGAGCAGAGCGACCTGGCGCTGCTCAGCGCGCTGTCCTCGGGGAGCTTTGGACTGGTGTACTCTCCTGAAGCTAACATGTGTGTGTGTGTGTGTGTGTTTTGTTTTTGAGGGTGCCTTTTGGGGTTGGTTTGAAGACACCAAAGGAGAGCACCATTTTGTGGATTCTCTAGTTTGGGACACATTCACACGGGCCCCTGCAAGACTAGTTGTTGGAGGATTTTACTTTTAAGAGACCTTGTTTTTTGAGGTTTCATGTTTATTTGCTGGGGATGGCTGACAAAGGCTCGGGGTGGAAATCAACTTCTTTGGATGGGACTGATTCAGTTATGGGCTGGATGATGGGCAGCGGAGATTTACATGGTTCCTTTGTGGATGAGGCAAAGCGAAGACGGTGGCTCCACTGAATGACAACAACTTTGCTGTAGCTTCATAGGCACTAATTGCTTCGATTTCTTAGTTGGTCGACAGCTGTTGTTTGAACACGCGACCCAACTTCACACGACATGTTGCTCGGGGCCAGTGCTGTCGATGCGTGGTGTGGGAAAGTGTGACCATGTTTGACTTTCATTCCTTTTTGGTGGGTGACAGCCAACCCGAAGGCGCCGGTCGCATTTGGAGGGGTCCAGAGCTGTTGATCCCCAGTTTCTGGCTCCGTCGCTCTATTGCCTTGCTTCGTGGTCGCTGTGGAACGGGCTGTCTAAACATTTAAACCTGTGCAAACCTATGCTGGTAGAACCAAAGCCTTGGGCGAGGTGAGGAACGAGGTGGCTCGGGTGGCGGCGGCAGCCCAGGACCTCGCCCCCGAGGTGGAGCAGGCGTATCTCGTTTCCACGGGCCATGCCCAGTTCCGCAGTTGGTCAAACGGACCGGTGGAAGTTTGTGGTTGGAACAGTCCTGAGAATTGCAGAGAAACAAATTGACCTTGCTGTCTGGTTTTGTCCGATGGGAGCCATAGGCCCAGGTTCCATGGCAATGGGTGCCCATAGGTGTCGGTTCAGTGGGGTACAGTAGCACGATCGGAGGTTTGACATGAAGCGCCAGGGCGTCAGGCTGTTGCGGCAGTGATTCATTTGGTGTAGGCTTTTCGGAGGGAAATTCCCTGGTGGGCCTGAACGCGGGCCTTTAAGCAAGGTTTGTTTACTCGTACCTTGTTGTCTTATTTACACGCTGACGCGACACAGCCGGCCACCGGGCACCTTGCCCTGCCCGTTCTGTCACTTCCCTTTCCTGTAAGTCCGATGAGTAGATGTTAAGATCTTTAAATTCTAAAAACTTTGAGATTCTAAGGGTCTCAGATTTGAAGACTTTCGGAATTTAAGGTTTCAATGGTTGAAGAATTAAGGTTCTAAGATTCAAAGATTTAAGGCTTTTGAAGGTTATAACAGCCAGGCCATTGCCCAGCCATTTTCCATCCAAGGCTTTAAGATTGTATTTTTTGTGAGATTTTCAGATTTTGCGACTTTCGGAATTTAAGATGTTAAGATCTTAAGATGTCAAGACTTCAAAATTTGAAGATTAAGAGGTTAAGGAATTTAGAATATTACCCGGATTGAAGGAATTTTATTATATTTTACTTGTTTATGAATTTAAGATTTTCAGATTGCAATAGTTCGACATTTAAAGAATTTAAGTTTTTGAAGATTTTAAGATTCTGAGATTTTAAGATTTTGAGAACTTAGGAATTTCATATTTTAAGATTTTAACATCTGAAGATTCAAAGACATGAGGGTTTCTGTCACTTCCCTTTCCTGTAAGTCCGATGAGTAGATGTTAAGATTTCAAAATTCTAAAAACTTTGAGATTCTAAGGGTCTCAGATTTGAAGACTTTCGGAATTTAAGGTTTCAATGGTTTAAGAATTAAGGTTCTAAGATTTCACATTTTAAGAGTTTAAGATCTCAAGATTCTAAGACATAAGGTTTTTAAGATTTCAAGATTCGAAGACTTTAGGAAGTTTTTATATTTCTAGATTTTAAGATTCTAAGTTCTAAGATTTTAAGATCTTGAGATTCTAAGATTGATGGTTAGATTTTAATTTAAGATTTTAAGAATCTAAGACTTTAGGATTTTAAGATTTCAATCCAGGCCATTTCCATCCATTTCCATCCACTTTAGATTTTAAGATTTTCAGGTTGCACGTTTTCAGCAAAATTGGCCCGACTTAGGGGACAACATCCCCAGCATCACCCGCATCGCCAGCATGCATAACATCATCCGCATCATCCGGGATGATGCTGGCAATGCTGGGGGTGTTGTCCAGTATTAGGCACCCCCTAAAAATGCTCGTTTTTAGGCGCTGCGGGGAGATGCTACAAAAATCGCCTAAACCAATCCGCGAATCCTTCGCCCCTCATAAGGAAGGCCCAGCCAAAAACGTATGCGCATGGTCCGCGCATGGTCGGCGGCATGGGGCGCGCGGCCTTATACCTGAAGGTAAGCCCTAACGGGCTTTGGCCTGCGGCCCGATCACGTCCGGTGGCCGGATTTACACGCTGACGCGAACAGCCGGCCACCGGGCACCTTGCCCTGCTCGTTCTGTCTGTAAGTCCGATTTGTAGATGTTAAGATTTTCAGATTCTAAAAACTTTGAGATTTGAAGGGTCTCAGATTTGAAGACTTTCGGAATTTAAGGTTTCAATGGTTAAAGAATTAAGGTTCTAAGATTGAAAGATTTAAGGCTTTTGAAGGTTATAACAGCCAGGCCATCGCCCAGCCATTATCCATCCAAGGCTTTAAGATTGTATTGTTTGTGAGATTTTCAGATTTTGCGACTTTCGGAATTTAAGATGTTAAGATCTTAAGATGTCAAGACTTCAAAATTTGAAGATTAAGAGGTTAAGGAATTTAGAATATTACCCGGATTGAAGGAATTTTATTATATTTTACTTGTTTATGAATTTTAAGATTTTCAGATTGCAATAGTTCGACATTTAAAGAATTTAAGTTTTTGAAGCTTTTAAGATTCTGAGATTTTAAGATTTTGAGAATTTAGGAGTTTCATATTTTAAGATTTTAACATCTGAAGATTCAAAGACATGAGGGTTTCTGTCACTTCCCTTTCCTGTAAGTCCGATGAGTAGATGTTAAGATTTCAAATTCTAAAAACTTTGAGATTCTAAGGGTCTCAGATTTGAAGACTTTCGGAATTTAAGGTTTCAATGGTTTAAGAATTAAGGTTCTTAAGATTCGAAGATTAAGGCTTTTGAAAGGCCATAACAGCCAGGCCATTGCCCAGCCATTTTCCATCCATTATCAGATTTCGAAGCTTTAAGATTGATTTTTTTTGAGATTTTCAGATTTGGCGACTTTCGGAATTTAAGATTTTAAGATCTTAAGATGTCAAGACTTCAAAATTTCAAGATTAAGAGTTTAAGGAATTTAGAATATAGCCCGGATTGAAGGAATTTTATTATATTTTACTTGTTTATGAATTTAAGATTTTCAGATTGCAATAGTTCGAGATTTAAAGAATTTAAGTTTTTGAAGCTTTTAAGATTCTGAGATTTTAAGATTTTGAGAATTTAGGAATTTCATATTTTAAGATTTTAACATCTGAAGATTCAAAGGCATGAGGGTTTCTGTCACTTCCCTTTCCTGTAAGTCCGATGAGTAGATGTTAAGATTTCAAAATTCTAAAAACTTTGAGATTCTAAGGGTCTCAGATTCGAAGACTTTCGGAATTTAAGGTTTCAATGGTTTAAGAATTAAGGTTCTAAGATTTCACATTTTAAGAGTTTAAGATCTCAAGATTCTAAGACATAAGGTTTTTAAGATTTCAAGATTCGAAGACTTTAGGAAGTTTTTATATTTTTAGATTTTAAGATTCTAAGTTCTAAGATTTTAAGATCTTGAGATTCTAAGATTGATTGTTAGATTTTAATTTAAGATTTTAAGAATCTAAGACTTTAGGATTTTGAGATTTCAATCCAGGCCATTTTCCATCCACTTTAAGATTTTAAGATTTTCAGGTTGCACGGTTTCGGCAAAATTGGCCCGACTTAGGGGACAACATCCCCAGCATCACCCGCATCGCCAGCATGCATAACATCATCTGCATCATCCGGGATGATGCTGGCAATGCTGGGGGTGTTGTCCAGTATTAGGCACCCCCTAAAAATGCTCGTTTTTGGGCGCTGCGGGGAGATGCTACAAAAATCGCCTAAACCAATCCGCGAATCCTTCGCCCCTTATAAGGGCGGGCCCAGCACAAAACGTATGCACATGTTCTGCGCATGGTCGGCGGCATGGGGCGCGCGGCCTTATACCTGAAGGTAAGCCCTAACGGGCTTTGGCCTGCGGCCCGATCACGTCCGGTGGCCGGATTTACACGCTGACGCGAACAGCCGGCCACCGGGCACCTTGCCCTGCTCGTTCTGTCTGTAAGTCCGATTTGTAGATGTTAAGATTTTCAGATTCTAAAAACTTTGAGATTTGAAGGGTCTCAGATTTGAAGACTTTCGGAATTTAAGGTTTCAATGGTTAAAGAATTAAGGTTCTAAGATTGAAAGATTTAAGGCTTTTGAAGGTTATAACAGCCAGGCCATCGCCCAGCCATTATCCATCCAAGGCTTTAAGATTGTATTGTTTGTGAGATTTTCAGATTTTGCGACTTTCGGAATTTAAGATGTTAAGATCTTAAGATGTCAAGACTTCAAAATTTGAAGATTAAGAGGTTAAGGAATTAGATATACCCGTATTGACGGAAATTTTATTATAATTTATTACTATGTTTATAATTTTAAGATTCTTCAGATAGCAATCGTTCGACATTTAAAAGTTTAAGTTTTTTGAAGCTTTTAAGAATCTGAGATTTGCAGCATCAGAATGGAGATTTTAAATTTTTTGATAATTTAGAGTTTCAAATTGTAAAGACTGTTAACATCAGGAAGATCAAGACATGCGGGTTTCTGGCACTTCCCTTTCCTGTAAGTCCGATGAGTAGATGTTAAGATTTCAAACTTCTAAAAACTTTGAGATTCTAAGGGTCTCAGATTTGAAGACTTTCGGAATTTAAGGTTTCAATGGTTGAAGAATTAAGGTTTTAAGATTCGAAGATTTAAGGCTTTTGAAGGTGATAACAGCCAGGCCATTGCCCAGCCATTTACCATCCATTATCAGATTTCGAAGGCTTTAAGATTTTATTTTTTGTGAGATTTTCAGATTTGGCGACTTTCGGAATTTAAGATTTTAAGATCTTAAGATGTCAAGACTTCAAAATTTGAAGATTAAGAGTGGAAGGAATTTAGAATAATATAGCCCGTATTGAAGGAATTTTATTATATTTTACTTGTTTATGAATTTAAGATTTTCAGACTGCAATAGTTCGAGATTTAAAGAATTTAAGTTTTTGAAGCTTTTAAGATTCTGAGATTTTAAGATTTTGAGAATTTAGGAGTTTCATATTGTAAGACTTTAACATCTGAAGATTCAAAGACATGAGGGTTTCTGTCACTTCCCTTTCCTGTAAGTCCGATGAGTAGATGTTAAGATTTTAAAATTCTAAAAACTTTGAGATTCTAAGGGTCTCAGATTTGAAGACTTTCGGAATTTAAGGTTTCAATGGTTTAAGAATTTAGGTTCTAAGATTTCATATTTTAAGAGTTTAAGATCTCAAGATTCTAAGACATAAGGTTTTTAAGATTTGAAGATTCGAAGACTTTAGGAAGTTTTCATATTTTTAGATTTTAACATTCTAAGTTCTAAGATTTTGAGATTCTAAGATTGATTGTTAGATATTAATTTAAGATTTTAAGAATCTAAGACTTTAGGATTTTGAGATTTCAATCCAGGCCATTTTCCATCCATTTCCATCCACTTTAGATTTTAAGATTTTCAGGTTGCACGTTTTCGGCAAAATTGGCCCGACTTAGGGGACAACATCCCCAGCATCCCCCGCATCGCCAGCATGCATAGCATCATCCGCATCATCCGCGATGATGCTGGCAATGCTGGGGGTGTTGTCCAGTATTAGGCACCCCCTAAAAATGCTCGTTTTTGGGCGCTGCGGGGAGATGCTACAAAAATCGCCTAAACCAATCCGCGAATCCTTCGCCCCTTATAAGAAAGGCCCAGCCCAAAACGTACCCGCAACGTACCCGCATGGTCGGCGGCATGGGGCGCGCGGCCTTATACCTGAAGGTAAGCCCTAACGGGCTTTGGCCTGCGGCCCGATCCCGTCCGGTGGCCGGATTTAAGGGCTGCCGCCCAGTGCCGCCGACCCCTGGATTTAGTTGTGGTTTTCGAGCAACCAAAAACAGTGCCCTTGGTTTTGGTTTTTTTGGTTTCTTTTTGACCCAAATGGCATCTGAGGCGAGGTGCCGTTTCGACAGTATGCGTAGTCATGATTATGATCGTCGCTGCTGGAGATGCTGGGGATGCGTAGTGATGATTATCCTCATGATTGCCAGAGATGCTGCGAATGATGCGTAGTGATGATTATCATCAAGGCAGGACTCCAAATCTCAATGACACAAATGGCATCTGAGGCGAGGTGCCGTTTCGATAGTGATGCGTTGTCATGATCATCGCTAGGCACCCTTGGTAATGCAGAGGATGCTACGATGATAGTGATCATGACAGTCATCCGCAGCTTTGGTAATGCAGTTATCATGACAGTCATCCGCAGCTTTGGTAGTGCAGAGGATGCTACGATGATAGTTATCATAAGCGTCATCATCTTTATCATCTTCATGATGATTGTCATCCTAGTCATCGCCTTCATCATCGTCATCATGATTTTCTTCTATCTTTCTTCTATATACAATTGAAATGCATCCTTGGTAATGCAGAGGATGCTACGATGATAGTTATCATGACAGTCATCCGCAGCTTTGGTAATGCAGAGGATGGTACGATGATAGTTGTCATAAGAGTCATCATCCTTATCATCTTCATGATGATTGTCGTCATCGCCGTCATCATCGCTTGTCATCATCATCATCGTCATCTCTTCCTTCTATTCTTCTATCTTTCTTCTATATACATATCAAATGTGGCGTTAGGCATCCTTGGTAATGCAGAGGATGCTACGATGATAGTTATCATGACAGTCATCCGCAGCTTTGGTAACGCAGAGGGATGCTACGATGATAGTTATCATAAGAGTCATCATCCTTATCATCCCTGCATCATCGTCATCATGAGTGTCATCATCATCATCATCATCTGTTTCTTCTATCTTTCTTCTCTACACATTTCAATCGTGGCGTTAGGCACCCTTGGTAATGCAGAGGATGCTACGATGATAGTTATCATGACATCTCTTGGCAGCTTGAGCAAATCCCTCAATGAAATCATATGAAACTCTGATGACAAACACAGACTTTTAACCAGCCTGAGTAAACAAATAACAATAAAACAATAACTTCATATTTCAAATGTGGCGTTAGGAACCTTTGGTAATGCAGAAGATGCTACGATGATAGTTATCATAAGAGTCACCATCCTTATCATCTTCATGATGATTGTCATCATAGATCTCTTTCTTCTATCTTTCTTCTGTATACATTTCAAATGTGGCGTTAGGCATCCTTGGTAATGCAGAGAATGCTACGATGGCAGTTATCATGACAGTCATCCGCAGCTTTGGTAATGCAGAGGATGCTACGATGACAGTTATCATAAGAGCATCTCTTCTTCTATATTTCTTCTATACTTCTATATACATTTCAATTGTGGCGTTAGGCATCCTTGGTAATGCAGAGGATGCTACGATGATAGTTATCATGACAGTCATCCACAGCTTTGGTAATGCAGAGGATGTTACGATGATAGTTATCATAAGAGTCATCATCCTTATCATCTTCATGATGATTGTCATCATAGTCATCGCCTTCATCATTGTCATCATGATTGTCATCATTATCATCATCTCTTGCTTCTATCTTTCTTATATACAAAGATGAGGGCTGTGATGATACATATCATCGTAGCATCCTCGGCATCATCAGTGCCGGCTGGTGATGACCATGATGATAGTGACGAGGACTGTGATGATAACTATCATCGTAGCATCCTCTGCATTGCCAATGGGGCCTAACGTTACTTTTGAAATGCAAATAAGAATAAGAATGAGATGGACGATCATCATGATGATGATGAGAAGAGCGATGACATCATAATAAGGATGATCATGATGATGATTATGATGATAACTATCATCATAACGCCCTTTGCATCACCAGTTCTGCCTAATAAGAGATGATGATGACATCCTCGGCATCACCAGTGCCGGCTAATAAGAGATGATGATAACCATGATGATAGTGATGATGAGGATGAGGACTGTGATGATAAGTGTCGTCGTAGCATCCTCTGCATTGCCAATGGGGTCTAACGTTACTTTTGAAATGCATGTAAGAATCAAGAATGAGATGATGATGATCATCATGATGATGATGAGAAGAGCGATGGCATCATAATAAGGATGATCATGATGATGATTATGATGATAACTATCATCGTAACACCCTTTGCATCACCAGTGCTGCCTAATAAGAGATGGTGATGACCGTGATGATGATGACAAGGATGAGGACTGTGATGATAACTATCATCGTAGCATCCTCGGCATCATCAGTGCCGGCTAACAAGAGATGATGACGACCGGATGAGGGCTGTGATGATAACTATCATCGTAGCACTAACGTTACTTTTGAAATGCATATAAGAATAAGAATAAGAATGAGATTATGATGACAACTATCATCATAACACCCTTTGCATCACCAGTGCTGCCTAATAAGAGATGATGATGACATCCTCGGCATCACCAGTGCTGGCTAATAAGAGATGATGATGTCGAAGGATATAGAAATGATGATGATGATGATGATGATGATGATGATGAAGGATCATATCGATGATGATGATGATGATGGGCATCCGTATGATGCCAGTAGTCATATGCTTGCCTCAAAGATTCATCCATGCGCTTGTACTGGAACCACCCTTCCCGTGCGCCTCCCCTTTGAGGAGAAGGGGTCGGCGGATTTGACGTGCGCACCCCCACCCCCACCCACACACACACACACGCACACGCACACGCACACGCACACGCACACGCACACGCACACGCACACGCACACCCACACGCCCACACACGCACACGCACACACACACACACCCCACCATGAGAGTCCAATTTGGATGGCTCAAAGTGCTTCCAGCGTTCAAGGTGGTCGATATGAATCCCATGCAAATCCAGCATTGTTCCCATGAGCATCCGCTCTGAAGCCAGGGAAGCCGGGCTAGGCTGTGAATGGAGTTTCCAACTTCATGCTGAAAGGACCTCCAGTGGACCTACCGACTCTTCACGAAGCTTTATATAATCTGAATGAGCTACGCTACCATACAGCCATACGGGGTTGACATGACATATTATGATACTCGTTCGGACGATCTTGATTTTGCTGCTATAAGGGTGAACAGTATGGTCATTCTGTCTATTTCTGGCCCTCTTGTCAAACCGAGCCTGCGAGCCTCCCACGGTTCATTTTGAGGACGGCTCACAAGACCAAACCAACAAGACAACAAAACGACGCAACACGACAACACGACACTCCGAAACTACGACGCTACGACAACGCGACAACACGACACACGGCAACAAACTAACGGCAACAAACAAAACCAACACAACACGAAAGCGACAGACCCAAACGCAGGGTCGGGCCAATGGACTTTCACGTTACTGCGGACCCAAGCGCTAGGCCTGCCGCCGCCTCATCGCAGAGGAAGCCCAGATGCAGGCGGACAAGTGGGCGCAGACCTTCCAGTACCACAAGCAGGCGGGCGCACTTGTTAAAAGGCTGTACAGGACGTAACAAAACCGTGTGAATGAAAATCCTGCGGAGGTTGAGCCCAAAATGTGGGTCTTTTGTCTTGAGCCACGCCTGGCAGGTTGGCGTGTTTGAGCTTGGCCAATCTGTCCTTTTGATTCAGGGCGTACCCTACATATCTTTCAGCCCGAAGTTGGCGTACCGTCGGGGCCCGAAGTTTGCGTGGGCGGGTCTTTCAGCCTGCACTTCCCGAGCCAACCAATTCACAGATTAACATTAGAAGAACAACAGGCATGAACATGACTCAACCAAAAGAAAGATTGATGGGAGGTTCGTCTCTTTTTTGCGGGCCAATCTTCTGGCTTTCTGGGCGTATGTTTCCCCTTTAAAGCTACGTGAAAAGGGGCCAAGACCCAGGCGAACTGCGATGCGCTGCAGGGCGCTGTGGCGGAGCCCCGCGCGGAGGTGCGGGCGCTGCGTCCGGGCCCAGGCGAAAGGCCCGGTGCAGGCCAAGCAACACGTGGCTCGGGGTTTGGTTGGGAGGGTTCCCGGGTTTGGGGTGGCTTGAGAAATTAAAAGGATCCCCATGTTTGGGGGGATTCCCCAATTTTGACACATATACCGCGTAGAATTCGCGGAATGGTCCCTGAAGATCGGATTTGAGCCACAGGAGAGGTTTTGTTCCGTTTTGCATGGGTATCAAGTTTGAAGCTTGGGATGGCAATGAGTCTCAACATCCTGCAAAGGCTTCAGCGGATGATTGGTTGCATTGAGGAAAGCCAGGTGCAAGTGCATCGGACAACCTTCAAGGTTACGGAAAAGCGAAAAGGCAACATGCTTCCTTCTCAAAAGGAGTGTTCTTGGTCGGCAGAGATCCAAACATGCTTTGATCATTCATACATTGTTTGTCTGTTGCCGGCTTTGCGGATGCTACGTGAAGCCTGTTTGAAAGCACTTCAACAAAACAGGATGGTATAGTAGTCTCCTTCAAACATTTGCAGAGAGGCAACAGGCAATGCCAGCCTGGTTATCCAACAATGACAAGCCATGAAAGCCGAAAACTTGCTGCTCGTAGTTGGAGTCTTTCTTGCTTCAGCGGGGAACCGGAACTGACTCCTGCACGCTGCTGTGAGAAGTGAATCGTTGAGTGGTAGCTAGCCAAGAAGCCACTTCCTCATGCCTTGGAAGTGCCCAGCGGTGATTCCGCAAACGACGTAGCCCTAATGCATGGGGACTCCAATTTCTGGGGAGCAGCCTGGCCCATATGGGCAGCCCGTGTGCAAAGAGGGTCATCAATGGTAACCAACTGGCAACGAAAGGAATGCTTGGCAACTCTTGGAATGGGGTCGCGCTGAGAAATGGAGTGCTGCCGCCAGTTGGACAATCTAACGGGTGGAATGGTTTCTCGCTACTGTTTGTTCTTGTTGTTGCCAGTGCCGTTTCGGGCTCATTCGCATGGTGGATGGTGTTATTTCACGGCAGCTGCGTGTGACAGCATGTCGAAAGGATGTCACGTGCGGCAAAGTCGGACTCGGAAAAGCTGCTGGTCCTTCTGAATCTCATCAAAGGCTCCATTGCTGCGCTTGAGGTCTTGCCCTTTCCGAGCAGGAGGCAAGAGGCCCAGAGGCTGCACCTGGGGACCTGGCTAGACCTTAGCCTGATTTGTGCCATTTTGTGCCCTGATTATAACCCCCCCCATTGCTAATAATAATAATAAGAGCAAAGACGACAGAATGTCCCCTTCACCAGCTCAGAGCCACGTGTGGGGTGCCGGCGCCTCCGAGGTGGAGTCGGCCGCGCGCTTCGACCGCCTATCCGGCGACCTGCAGCGGCAGGTGGGTCGCGAGTGTTGGAATCCCAAAGAAGAACTAGATCACCACATCGCCCAGCCAATGTGGACACCTGAAATCCCCCATTCAGGGTTCCCGAGCCTGGACCCCCATTTCCACAAAGCCGCCCGTTGTCGGAGAACAAGTCGCAGCAAGATCGAAGTCTAAGTGCCAAGCGCCTGCACGGCTGACTCACAAAACATGTTCGCGCTGCACCCTTCCAGGATCGTGCTGCCAGCAGCCGCATGTGCAGCCGGCCAGGTGTTGGAGGGCGCCAGGTCTGAGTAGGTGCAACAAGAATACCACATGTTGCCCAGTGCACAGAGAAGGGTTGCTCGAACGGTTGCGGCTTTGCTGTCAGATCCTTGTCAGCCAGGAAGCAGGAAATGGAAGAGATGACAGCCATGCCCTTTGTGTACTTCTGAATCTCAAGTATCGTCAGTGATCAGGGTGGTGTGATGAGCGCAGATCCGCACTGAAAGCAGTGTCCTTCTGGATTTGTGTCGACCAGTACTGGACTGAGGTCGGGTTTGAAGAGCGTGTTGCAGCGGCCACTGCCTCTGTTCGTCAAGCTGTGCAAGAACAGCGTCAGGAGGCCAGCTACGGAACGCCAGACTGAGTACGTATTGCGTGAAGATGCTGATACTGTTATGGCAGAACTTCCTCTCGCAGTCACTTGATGCCAGCTGCTTCCTTTGGTCGATTGAGAAAGCAGCCTCAGCAAGTGCAGTCAAAGCCAAGCACTGTTCATCCATACTCAGACTCTGATTTCAAGAAGTAAATTTGTATTGCATGAGTATTGCGGCCACTGCCTTGACAAGAGGGACAATGTCTTTGGAAGGGGATTGGGTGCAAGAATTAGTGCACAGCGAACCTGTATCTTGCGCTTTGCAAATTGGTCTTACCGAAGGTGCGTGTTTTGTTGCCATCAAAAAAAGCCTCTGGTTGATTAGCCCTCATGCTCCAGGGGGAAGCTGTCGGTCAGGTCTTTAAGCAGCTGGACCCCATCATGGAGAGGCTTTCCGAGGCGGGGCACAGAGAGGCTTGGCATGGCGACAATTGCCGATTCGTTGACATCTCACAAGTTGTTGCTTTCCTTTGTGCTTTCTGTAGTTGTGCTTTTTCCTGAAGAAACTTGCAGTGGATAAGGGGATTCCAGTATGATTGATCAGCACAACCACGTTTCACAGCGGGCTTCCAACAAGGGGGTGAATGGGTAAGGTGGTGATGGCCACATCATGGCAGCATAGCTGAGAATGTGTCAAAATTCACAGCACTCTTCGAAGCGACAGGGCTAGGCCACATATCTTGACGTTCAGACAAATGCTTCTTATTATAGAACTGGCATGCCAACCGTATGCTATATTGGCTCATGCAGCCTATCTTGCTTGGGTCTCATTGCATTGCTTGTTCACAGTCTACTATGATGCGATGCATCACGGCTAACATATGATGTGTCAACCTCAACCGCAACACATATGAACCGACATTTCATTGGGGGTCGCATCGCGTGCGTTAATGAAATGTGCCACTCCATGCCACTTGAAGTGGCATGGGGTGCCATGGCGGGGCATGAAGTGGCTGGCAGTGAAATGCAGTGGCGTAGACTGTGGAAGAAATCTAAAAGCGTAGTTGCAGGATGTTGAGCTTGTAGATAGTGAGAACCGCTTTGAACAGTGATATAGCCAATACCTAACAGGCAAACAAAACAACAGGTGTTGAACAGAGCGAAGGCAGTCTGAAAGTTGGACAACCCTGTAAATCGCATATGTATCAACTCTACCAATATTCTGAAGATGAACTATGATAAAGCACACTAAGCTTATTTGCACTGTCAACCACAGTTCTACAACACCTTCACGATGACATTCATACGGGCTTTCAAGAAGTAAACCAACATGTGATGAACTTTAGTGATTATCCATCTGAACGCCCTTTCTACGATAAAACAACTAAGAACAACTTGTGAATTTCAAGGACGAGTGATCTTCAAAGATGATTGCACATTTTGCAGCACTAACACCAAGGTCATATGCCCTCATGATACATAGTGAACAAAAATGACATGATAAGTCTAAAGGTGTTGTCAGAGGTACAGCGAAAACAACACAGAGCAACTATCTGAATTTCATGAGGGAGGCACTGTATTATAACAGATCACGTGAAATCGAGTCATTTTTTTAAATGAGACTGATTGGTTGGTTCAACCACATGTTACTATTCAATCATAATAAAGCTAAACTCCATCACTTTGTATACTCCTTGATCATACTGCAATTTAGTCTAAAACACCCTTTAAACATACCTAATGACATAAGCCCTTTAACACATAGAGACAATGACAGATACACAGCAATATTCAACATGTAAAGTATATCAACTATCGTCGGTATAGCGAAGCGCACACACACAGTATACAAGAACGCAAACGGATACTACAGATAGCAGAGCACCAGTCCTTCAAAATGAATATGAGGCAAATCACAAAGCTGGAATTCATTACTACCGAAACACATCTGACAAAACAAGCACACCACCCCAAACCCAGAACACGAGCTACTCTACGACCTAACCTTCTTCAAAAGACAGCAACGTTACTCCCCAGCCGAAGAACCATACAGAGGAGAATATATCCTAATATATCCTATTTTCCGCCCTTGAACCACACCCATTCAGAACGAATGAGGGGACAACATATTCAAAACAACAATCGAACAGGCAGCGCACACACACAACAGACCTTCCTGCAGCATCCTTGTTTTGTACCATGAAAAAACATGGGACCTGTTTTCGATTTCTACTTTTAAACGTGCAAAGGAGTAGGCAACTCATACACCAGTATCCCTAGGTTGATACCAAAGGTTAGTAGAAGAAGGTTCATGCCAGCGATTGAGACCGAAAGTTCACACTAGAGGCACACGTGCTACAACCCATGGTGGGGCAGGTCACTACCAGCATACAGGCCAGTCGACGAGCGGAGGCAGGGCAACGCTGGTGAATGGAGAGAGATCTGTTTCGCTCCAGAGGTGTCTCTGCGCAGCAGTCCCTGGACCAACACGTGTTAGTTTTTCCGTTTTTTTTTTGCTTGCTGGATCCAAATGCTACAGTTGCGTGTTTCAGCAGGTTTCTCGGCACTCAGCTCTATGACCGAAGAAGGCAAGCAAGCGCTCCTGACTGCAGCAACGTTTGCCATTGGCCCACGGCGTTGCTGAGCCTGCCAAAACGTAGATTGGCACTCATGCCTTCACTGCCACGCCACCATCATCCCACACTGTGTCCTCATCTCATGATCTCTAGAGGGGATTATGGTAACCATAGCTCAGAAACACATGACGTGAGATCGTCGCTGCATTTGAAAAGCTTTTCCTGATGGTTCTTTCCGGCTGGCTCATTGCAGTGTGTAGCAGGATCCGGCCCAGCTGATTAATTGGGATTGGCAAGAACGGCCGTGAACCCGTCAGTCAAGATGAGACCTGGAGCGGCCATACTGCAAAGCAGTCTTGACCACAGCTAGGCCGGATCTTGCAAGCTTTGGTCTGGCAGAGTCCATCACCGCAGCTTCCACCTCGGGGCAAGACAGCTTGACAACTTGAGCATGCCATGGGGTTTTGTTCCCGGCTTAGCCCTTTAGACCTGCTCCTGTTTCGCTCTCATTGGCCTTCAGCCAGCGTTGTTTTGACGTGTGGTGACGACGTGACGACGGCTTCCAGAACCTGGCAAATCCAAGTAGGGAATTCAGGCGTCTTGCACTCTTGCCAATGCCGGCTTCTTCCGAGATGGCTTTGCCTTTGCATTGTTGACGCTCCTCTCAGATTCAAACAGCTCAGCCAAGACTGAAACAAACATTCTTTGGCATGTCAGCCACCACGCTCTCCTTCCACCGAATTGAGTCTTCCATGCTCTGCGTCTCGCCCAAAGGTGCCGCTCTCCCTGCAGTCATTAGAGAAACTTCTTGTTCGCAAAGTTTGCATGCAGTAACTGACGTGACACTGTCGAGCTTCCTGAGCGTGAAGGGGGTGCAGCGGACGAATTCACTGGAGCCTTCCTCTTGATGGCCGCTCTGTTTGCCCCGGAGTTTGCCGGTGAGCCCCGAGTCCCGACTGGGACCAGCCTGCAGCTTTTGAGGGCCGAGGCATTGCGCAGCCCGGCGATGGGGTTGCGCGAGCCGTTCGGCCAGACTGCTCCATGCTGTCAGAAAGGTTGTGAGTGCGGCCCTCAACGCAAGCAGGAAGTCCAAGAAGACTGGAGCAGGGCCAAATATGATTTTTGTTTGAGAGGACTCCGGCCTTGAGACATTCCGAGAAGGTCACCGGCTACCGTTGAGCAGCACAGCCGCAATTGACCAGATCTGCACAGGCTGATCCTTGATAGTAAACTCCCGTGCAAGCTGCGCGTTCGCGGACTTCCCACAATTCCTTAAGGAAACTTAGGATTTGCCGCCTTCATGCTGCAACAGACGTTTGCACGTGCCTTCCTCTCCAGTGCTTGCTTCCTGTCCAGAAGTACCGGCTGTTGACACTGCATTAGTTAAGATTTGGCCGGGCTCTAGGGTCTTGGGGCTCCCTTTAAGACTGAGCTTTGAAGCACCGAGCGACATGTGGTGTGGCTGAAACCAATAAACTCCTCAAACTCAACGTTTTCAGAGGGGTCATGCAAGTCTGTCCCATTGCCTGAGTTCCAGAAGAACTCTCCAATGCCATCCACCAGCTCTTTACTCGCTGTGCCGCAAGGCGGAGCTGGGCGGGCACTTTGAGCGGCTGCTGGTGACTACGGAGGAGCTGTGTGCTGGGCAGCAGCCCCAGGCGTTGAGAACGGGGCGCTTGCCTGAAGGAAGCCAGAACACCAATCGTTTGAGGCAGTTTACACATGTGCATTCGTGTCACCGCGGGTTGGTGCGGATGGTCATACAAAAAAACATCGATAACTAATTTCAACCATTCATCAAAATGCCACTTCTGGTGGAATTGTTCCTGACTTTCTGAGCTTCAATGAGCACATTGAAGAAACTATGAGCATCCCCCGCAACAGTGTGCAACATGTTGTGACCGGTTTTTGGCTTCTGCAAACAAGTAGCCAGAATCCAGCTTGTTTCTCGGCACCAGACTTTATGGCATCAGCCTGGGTGGACCGCATTGGTGGCAGTCCTCACATGCCTGGACGCACTGGGACGCAACGCCATGATTTTGGTCTATCATGATCTATCATGACCACAAAGATGTGTCATTGAGTTTTGGGACTTTTGAAAAGGAACTCGTGTTTTCCCCGATTTGTCCCTTAACGATCGTGAACGAGATGAACATCAGAAGCGCTCTTTTTGTTGCGCTTCCACAGTCGCTTGCATCTTTGGCTGTAGATTTCCGGGCAACATGGCAGTCATATAGGAGTCCAGATGTATGTTGTTGCCCTGGCCTTCAGGCGCCTTGTACTCTCGCACTTGCCTTCTGGTTTTAGAGCATCCACCCGCATGCGCCGAGGCAGGAAGCACTATCGGCACAGGGTGCTGATACCGCTCAGAGTCTCAACGACTTGAGATCTGCGACTTGGCCGCAGTCTGTTTCGTTTCTTGCAAGGCAGTCGATCGCCAAGCAGCCCTGTGCCATCAACTCTGGCAAATCGTTTCTTATCTTATTTTGGACACGCGCATGAAGGCTGCTCTGTCTTGACACAATTGTTTTGCGTTCTCCTTTGCAGTGGCAATCCGAAGCCTGATTTGGCTGAAACAGCTTTTCCTGGCGTTTGAACATCCAGAAGCCGCCAACTATGCTTCCGACGAATGTCAGCTACTCCAAGGCCTCTTTCAATCCGGGGAGTTGCCCTGCCTTTGGTGGCAACTGCAAGCATGCAGCGCAAGGTGGCATGCTCTTTCACAGGACGACGGGAGATGCCCAAGTAAAACCCTCAGGAGTCTTGCGAAGAAGGCTTGCTGGATGATTAAACAGTTGATAACGCAGGCTAGGGCCCCAGCTTGGAGAGCACATTTTGGAGCGTCGATTTCAAGCCTATTTTGCCAGCAGCCCTTTCATCGCCAACGATTGTCTTGATGACCGCGCAAATTCCGATTCTCAGCCGGATCACATTGATGTCGCAAGCTGCGATTTTGGCAGGCTTTTCTGTTCTCTATGCTGTCACGCTGGAATGCATGACGGTCACTGCGCTTTTTCGGATCCCAGTCAAGTCAAGGGGACAGTTTGGAATGGACTTTGAGCAGGGAATGCTAAGACGCGCCCAGGCCCATCCGTCGATACGACCGCTACTGCAGGTGGCTGAGAAACACAATTGGTCTGCTAAACCGCTCGGAGTTTGTTGCTGCAGTTCTCATGGCCTAATCTGCAGGAACGAGACCGCGCAGGAGTGGAAGAACAAGCAGAACTGGGTGGCGGACCAGCCTCGGTGACAATGTGCCGGAGGAACTGTTGGATGATGATGAGTACGACAGCTTATTTGACAACGATGCCTTTGTGTATGATCGGACAAGCGATCCATTTGACAAGGTTATTGCCGCGCCAAACTGCTTTACTTCCCTTTGCATGTTTCGCTGGCCAGCGGACGAAAAAGGAGAGTGGTGACAGACGAGAGACGCCCATGTGCCTCGGAGGCACCAGGCTGGTTTCACTTTGTGGTGATCAAAATGCGTTTGTACTAGAGCCACTACACAAAGCACAGCGCAAACAGAAACACTCGAGACCAAGCCTGCCAGAAAGCGATCAATGAAAGGAGGGATTACAGAGTCTGGACAAGTTCTCCCAAACTATTCCCTGACCTTGAAAGAGAGGGGCATGATGCGCAGACAAGTTGTTTCTTCTTCCCACTGGCAAACGGGATATCAAAGCATTCGGACGCGGACGCGCCAACATTGAGGCAGCTCTGACTCGACACGGGTAGAAAGTTGGGAGATGTCATGCAAAGGGCAAGCATATGCAAAGTGGTGGCAAAGTCTTGGGGAAACGATTTTGGAGGGTCCCTGGCCCCCTCGTTAGTCTGGACCTCCTCGGTCCTTTCCTGTGTGGATCCCTGTCTGGCCAATAGGACTGCAATAGGAAAGCAAAAGGAAATTGCATCTTTCCTAGGGTGGGAGGGGCCAACCTTGAAGCGGGGTACCCTTTACGAGCTTGACAAACTTTGTAGTTTGCTTGAACAAGCTGAAAGAGTAAATTTGATGTTTCCAGCTGGCCGGTTTTCTTGATTTCTGGAATGGCAACCCTTGCGACTATGAAAGGAGTTGGCATTGGCAACAGTGTTCGCGATAGCTTTGGTAATATTGCTTTGTGTTTTCTGGGCAGTTTTCGAATGTTGGGCCGGAAATGGACTAATCAGAGGGATGTTGGGAGGTCCCCCCCCAAAAAAGAAACAAAAACAAAAGAAAGTAAGTAAGTAAGAAAGAAAGATTGAAAGAGGGATCGTTTGGCCAAACTTTGTGGGTGCCTTCAAAGTAGTATTGGCTGGCAGTTGGCTGGAAAAACCGGTCGTCTTTAATCAGAGGGGGTTTATGAATCATGTGCCGACATTACACATGCACACAACACAAAGCAGTGCTTTTGCTTGTCAGTTGAGCGCAGGCGAAGTGCCTTGGCTTCACCCGCCTTCAACGCATTGCTGTCATCAGCAGCTAGTAGTTGTTGGTGCTGTCTTTTGGGCTTGTGCATTTCCAATTCGACAGGCGCTTTCGGGCTTCTGGCCAATTGGTTCAGGCTTCAGAAATGCCTCAACACGTTCCGCGGTGCGCACATGGGATTGCATGCTCAGCCATCCGGTCCATGAGAGATGCTGTCAGAACTGGGGTCCCCCTGGACGCGCGGGTCCGTGGCAGGGCCGTCTGACGAAAGCTGCCTGGAGCTTGATGATGTGGAGCCAGCGGAGTTCCAGATCAAGACTGCGGAGAGACGGAGGAGCAGACGATTGATGAGCATCAGGGAAATGAAAGAGCAAGATTTGCAGCAGCTGCGCGCAGTGCAAGAAGCGAACCAAGCGAACGGAGTTCCGCCGGATGGAGTTCTGACGCGATCCGCTGTCCGGCGAGCCTCGGCCCTCAAGCTGCGGGAGGCGCCGCAATCGGCCCTGGCGAAGTCCAAGGCCGCGGCCATGTTCCAGGAATGCCTCCAGATTGCTTCATGCCGGCTGGTGGAAAGCTCGAGCAAGGTCTGCGACAAGCTGTCCAAGAGCTTGCCCAGTCGCTCCAAATCGATGTGGCCGGACGGCGTGGCACCGCTTCTGACGAGGCCAAGCGGGCAGATGGAACCTGGCAAGAATACAAAGATGAGCACCGCCCCGCAATGGATGAGCATTCGCCTGGACTCACAAGTCCGTGACCGGCCGGAACCAGGCAAAGACCAGCTGCAGTCCAACAATCCGGAGGTGCTGCATATGGCTTTTCAGCAGGCGCTGGAAGAGGCAAAGCGCATCCAGGCCCAAGTGGTGGCGGCCAAGAACGAAGTTCAGAGGTTGCAGGGAGCTGTGGCTCTCCAAGCCAAGGAGCTCGCCAAGACGACGCCAAAGGCGGAAAGACCCAAAGCGACGGCTCCCCACACAGCTCGGACTCGAGGGCGTGCTGCGCTCACACTGCCAAGCATCAAGTGAGTTGGCCGTCGACTTGGCCACGGCCACGCGCAAGGCAGCAAATTTCACCCCCGTGCCAAAAAAAGAGATCCAGATGATCCAGATGTAGCATTGATCACTTTTTACTTTGAGTCTTAGTTCGGACAAGTTTGAGTTTCAGTTTTGGCTTCAAAGCAAGTTTGAACTTCGGACGATGCTCATGGCTTGAAGTTGCATTGCTGTTTGTGCAGGGTGTAACACTGGGTGACTAACACGCTCATGGAGAGAGCAATGTGGATAGGGGATGGCCACACTAGTGATACTAATGAACACATACTCCTCTGAAGATGCTTGTGTTGCTGCTGTCCACACACAAACACACAAACACAAACACTAGCGCACACAAGCACAACCACTGGCACAACGACAAACGTACACACACACACATACACCACAATTGCACACACACACACACGCACCCCCACACACACACACACACCAACACAGCAACACACACACAACACGTACGCACATTGCAACACACACACACAACACACACACACACAACATGCACACACACACACACACACACGCAATGCACTCACACACAACACAAATCACACAACACAAATCACACAATACAACACAGCACATCACATCACAACACACCGCACCGCACCGCACCACAACACACCACAACACACCACACCACGACACAACACAGACACAGACACAGGCACAGGCACAGACGCAGACGCAGGCGCAGGCGCAGCCGCAGCCGCAGACGCAGCCGCAGACGCAGGCGCAGGCGCAGGCGCAGACGCAGACGGAGACGCAGACGCAGACGCAGACCCAGACGCAGACGCAGACGCAGACGCAGACGCAGACGCAGACGCAGACGCAGACACAGACACAGACACAGACACAGACACACAGACACTGACACACGCACAGACACACGCACAGACACACGCACAGACACGCGCAGAGACACTTGCGCAGAGACTCGCGCAGACACTCGCACACGGCACGCTCGCACACGCACACTCGCACACGCACTCTCGCACACTTGCACACGCACACTCGCACACGCACACTCGCACACGCACACTCGCACACGCACACTCGCCCACGCACGCGCACGTACACGCACACGCACACGCACACGCACACCCACATGCACACCCACACGCACACGCCCACGCCCACGCCCACGCCCACGCCCACACCCACGCGCACGAGCACAAGCACGCGCACGCGCACAAGCACACGCAAGCAAACGCGCACGCGCAAGCGCACGCGCACGCACACGCACACGCACACGCGCACGCGCACGCGCACACGCGCACACGCCCACGCAACGCGCACGCGCACGCGCACGTGCACGCACACGCACACGCGCACAGCGCACGCACACGCGCACGCACACGCACGCCCACACCCACGCGCACGCGCACACGCGCACACGCGCGCACACGCGCGCACACGCACACGCGCGCACGCGCAGCACGCACACACACACACACCGCACCCACACACACACACACACACACGCACGCGCACGCACGCACGCACGCACGCACGCGCGCGCACGCACACACACACACACACACACACACACACACACACACACACAGACACACACAGACACACACAGACACACCACACACAGACACACACAGACACACACACAGACACACACACACACAGACACACACACACAGACACACACACACACACACACACACACACACACACACACACACACACACACACACACACACACACACACACACACACACACACACACACACACACACACACATGCGCGCGCACACACACACACATCCGCAAACACACGCACACACACGCACACACACACACACACACGCACACACACACACACACACGCACACACACACCCACCCACACACACACACACCCACACACACACACACGCACCACCACACACCCCTACACGCCACCACGCGCCCCCACATACCACCACACAGCACCCCGCGCACAAATACGACACACACCACACACAAACGCGCTATACACACACACGACGCACACGCACACACACACACACCAGACACCACATTCACACACAATACGCACGCACACACACACACACAACACGCACACACACACACACACACGGCACACACCACACGCACACACAAAACGCACCACACACACACACACACACACGCACACACACACACACACCACACCACGCATACCACACACACACACACACCACACCACGCCACGCCACACCACACCACACCACGCCACACCACACCACACCACACCACACACATAGATAGGACCCCACACACACACACAGACACTCCACACGCAACACACCCTGACACACACACACACACACCACACACACACACACCACACATCACGCGTGCCATGCACGTGGAGGTGCCATGCAGGTGTCGGCGTGGCGCGCGATGCGACGGTGGATGCTAAGGAGATTCGCAATGTCGGCAGCTCCCAGGAAACTGTCGTGCGGGGCCTCTCAGACTCTGGGTGTGAAGTACAGCCAAAAGTCACCAGAAATGCCCCATAGATAGGTAGTCAGGGACGCAAGGTAATTACACGAGGCAAACTTCTATTTGACCAAAGCTGAATTGACGGCCACAATAACTCCTTGTTAGCCTTTGATACCAAAATTTGCGCGAAGAAGGCTGTGCTACAATTTCATGCACGTTCGATTGCAAGGCTTTGGCATGACCGCAGACTTGTCTGAGAGGGGGCCCATGTTTTGCAGCCCCAACCTATTTGTTTGTGTGCCTTCTGCTCTTTTGGCACCAGAGGTTGGGTGGTCCAAAAGGCCCTTTCTAAGGAGGCAAGTTCAGTCTCCTCGAAGCTGGCGGAGGACGCGGGTCCTTTGGTCGAAGAAGGGCACGAGGATTCCCCTGCCAGAGTTCAAGCCGCCTCAAAACTCGGGTAGATGACGGGAAAGGGGCAGTTCCGGCCAGAAATACGGCCCGACCTCTTGATTCTTACATGGCGTTCAGTAGGTCACTTGAATACCAGATTTTGATTGCGACTCCAGCATGTACACACTGTCCAGTGATTCTAGTTGCCCCTGAGATGACTGTCCAATAGAAATGTCCATGCAACAGGCACAGGCAAAGCTGTGGTTGCTTGCTGTTGTGCATGGAATCCTTTGACACGCCTTGTTTTTTTGATCATGCATGATTTGTGAATCCGCACGTGTCCATATCCCAGTCATACAGCCTTTCGCAGCTCGAATGAGAGCAGTCGATGATTGTGCCCAGAGAAGGGACCATTTAGTTGTTGGTTTTATTGCTGTATCTATAATGCGTTTATATTTTTAATTAGATATCTAATATACATTTACATGGGAAATACATGCATGCTTGCAGACGTAGATACGAATATAAATAAATATAATATAATATGTATATATATGTATACGCATACTGGTTTGTGTCACATCATATTTGGCAATGATATGGCGCTGTCCCCTTGTCCATAGATACAGCGCTAGCTGCTAGTGACATAATGTGGCACTCAAACTGCCCTCTGCTTGGCAGGCAGGAGGAGTATGCAAGCCCCCAGCTGTCAGCGCTCATCTCAGCACTTCTGGACGGACATGGCCGAGGAGTTACCATGCCAATCTGTTGATAAGACCACCAGTTACCACCATGAGTCAATTGGCTTTCAGGATTTTGACGAGTGCTGACCATTCCAAAGCACGTTGACCGCGGCTCGTATTTCTTCGTGGCTCCCAATCACAGATCTCCGCTGGCAGGCCAAGGAAGGGCTGAGAGGCGCGCTTCGCAGAATCCAAGCCACTTTGGTCGAATGGGGCATCACCTCATCTGATTCCTTGGAGGGAATGCCTTGTCCCAGTTACCATCATGGGTCACCAGGAATTGTTTTCTTTGGTCTCTATACAACGATTCCCCTGAGTAAATTTGAGCTGCTGAGCCTATCACACCAGTTGCCAATGTTGTGAGATTGACAGTCATCGATCTGCCAGACAGGTGCTACGAACTTTGCAGAGCCATCAAGGGAACCACTGAGGACGCAACATACTGTGTGTGTGGGGACCTGTGTGGGTTGCTCGTTTGTTTGCTCGTATGTCCGTTGCCTCGTTCCTTGCATGTTTGTGTTTGTTTTATCTTGATGTTGTATGTCGTCCTTAGTTTCTTTGATTATCTTGCCTGCTTGCTTGATTGCCTGCTTGCTTGCTTGCTTGCTTGCCTGCTTGCCCTCTTGCCCGCTTGCCTGCTTGCCTGCTTGCCTGCTTGCCCGCTTGCCTGCTTGCCCGCCTGCCAGCCTGCCCGCCTGCCTGCTCGTGTGCTTGCCTGCTTGCTTCGTTTGATTGAGAGTGGCTGAGCTGACTTACACAAATCAGATAAGCGCGGTTTGGTTTGAGCTTGATTCAGTTTGCTGAAATTTAGTTTGGCTTAGTGTTCATTGATGTTGGTCTGGTGTTACCTTTCTTTGGCTGCGTAGCTCGAATTTGCTGCGATGTGTAAGAGTTAAGCGCCTGCTTTGGCTTGTTCCATGTTTGTTTGTTTGTGCGTTCTTTATGCTTGGCTAGATTGCTTCAGTGTGATCCATTGGGGTTACAGTTTGGCTTGGGTCTCTTTCACTGTTGGTCTAGTGCGTCTTTGATGGGCTTTGTGTCATTAGTAGAGATGAAGACTGGTTTATGTAGTTTTGCTAGTTAGTTTGGCCTGGTCTGGTTTGGTTGGTGTAGTATGGTTTCTCTGCTTGAGCTTTGTGCTGTATGTGTTTTCATCTGGTCAGTTCAGTCTGGTTCCTTGCTTGCTTTGCTTTGCGTGACCTTGTCTTGCTTATTTTTGAGTCTTGTTGGCTGTGTCCCTGCTTGGTTCAATTGCTTGGCTTCCGTTTGTATTTATATGGGTTTGTGCCTTAGTGTCGTGTCTTGCTTGGCTCTTTGCTTTGTTGCTTGTCGTGTGTTTGCCAACATTTACATGCATTTGTTTGCTTGTTCCTCCCATTTCTCTCCTACCTGCTTGCCTGCTTGCCTGCTTGCCTGCTTGCTTGCCGGCCGGCCGGCCAGCCTGTCTTGCGCTGGCTGGTTGCTTCTGGCTTGTCTTGCTTCTGCTGCACATGTGGTAACATTCAAGAAGCTACCAAACCGAGCACGTTCAATCATTGCCATTCTTTCCGCGAGCGTGTCCAAGTTTGCTGAATAGTACCAAAGTGTAGACAGGAAATTCTGAAGGATGCGAGTGAGCTCCTCCAAGAGGTTCATACGCTGGGACCAAAGAAGGCTCGACAATTTTGGGTGTTTCCCAAAATTGGCAAGGCCTCTTTGGCTTGTACAAGGAAACAAAGGAGCAACTATATTATGGGTGTGTGGACCCCAAAATGGTAAAGAGGACACAGACCCATATGCGCCATGGTCAAAGCACCCTTTTATTTTGTGGCAGGGGTCGTGACCCAAAGGAGTCTTGACCATGGCACATGTGTACCCCAAACCACTTCCGGCAGGATGCCTGAAGAGCCGGTGTCCCGAGATGCCGCTCTCCACGCCAGGCGAGGCTTCGGAGTCGAAAGTTGGCTGCCGGGAAAGATGAAGCCAACAGTGATGTGTTTTTGAGGCTATCCTTTTTAAGGTTGGCTTAGAGGGAAGCCAGACTTTTAAGGGATCCCGAAACATCCCTGTTTTAGCACATGCCCAACGTGAGGATACCTGTTTTTTGACAGTACCGTTTTTGGGTTGTTTTGAAGAACATGGGCCCTCCCCTACCAAGTCTCTAAACTTTGGCAAATTTGCCAAGGGTGAAAGAGGCTCAAAGAGAATCAGTGGATCACGTATTTTGTGCACACAATGGCGAGTGTGAGGGTCACTAATTCAGCAAGCACAAGTTTGCCTTTTGAGCATTTGCCAGTACGACAGCAGAGGTCCTTGTAGATAGTTGGTTTCATGCGGGTTTGCCTAAACAGGGGAAAGTGAAAACCGGGAGGCTACATGTCGGGAGCCCTGAGTCCGTGGCGTTTGTCTCAAAAGCCACTGCAGGTCGTCGCATTCTTCCCCAGCCGCGCGCTCAGGGCTGCCTGTTGTTCAAAATACTTGACGCCTTGACGGGCTTGGATGGAGGTGGCAACCACTGATCGAGTCCACGCTACACGAAACTGAAGTCTCGACTGCGAGCGGCTGAAGGAAAAGCCGACGCCGCGGGTGGATGTTTCCAGCGCCTTCAGCACGCGGCTCAGTAGCTTTTGAGACGCGGGCTTCTACAAACATGTCTTAGACTTTGGCTGAATGCTGCATGAACCGCCAAGGGCCCCGACATGGCAGCTTGGTTGACCGTTCGGGGCGAAAACAATCCAGCGGCCTTCGACCACAGGGGTGCTCAGAACTTAGCCTTTGTGGACGGCCCAGGCCGCTTGGGCGAGCTACGAAGACGTTTGGGATCTCCCGCTGGGGCCTTGCATGGGGCATTGGTATCATAGGCCCAGATGGAGAGTCCCAACACCGGCAGACGATGTTGCCTCGTATTAATGCCTTACATTGATGTGTGTCATGCACAGTTGGTCACGTGCGCTGCAATTGATGATTCTCCAAGCTACCCGTCACAACACTCCGAAATATGTTGCGATTGTTAGGCAAGACATTATTAATTGCACAGCCTTTTCAACTCAACAGCCACTAATTTCGTTAGTTTGCGACATTGCTCCTAAAGTGTGTACTGACAGAACCAATACGGACGTGCAACATCGATGCCAATATTGTCTGACATATGCGGTGCTTTTGTTCCTCAGCAAAACAGCAGTTGTGGGACGCTTGCAAGCTCCCCGTCACTTCGAGATGCCTGCAAGGCGTTTTGAACATGTCAGAAGTTTGTATTCCTACACTTCTGGGGCAACATCTGCTATATCTGCTCACAAACGCAATAAAGGGCTGCATGCCGTTGCATTGCAAGACAATCAGGACCAAGTTCAGGTTCACACTGCTTCTTGTTTAGGAATCCCACAGTGGAACTGCAACACGACATGCCAGTGCCCTTCTATGTCAAGAGCTCGAGTACAGATGGTTTTGACCGGCTTGTAACACAGAAAACCGCGTCACAGGCCCCACAGTTGACATGCTCAAACATGCCCACTGGCAATTCGGAGTGCGCGCTCCCACACTTGTGCTTGACTCCATCTCACCGACAGAGCAGTCTGAGATTCTAAGAGATGTTGTCATCCATAACCCTGCTTGCATCTTCTTAGCATGAGCCAAATTCCTTGAATTCTGCTACGATGCCCGAACCCATAGCCAACGGATAAACAGCTCCACTATGAGATGCGCACGAGGCACACCAGGCTCACCAGGAGGTGGTCGAGCCGGTCGCAGGCATGTCCATTTAGTTTATCCAAGGTGGCAATGGCATGCAGATGGTTTGCAGATCTTGTGGGGCTTGGTGGCTGCTGCTTGTGCACAGCAAAGTCAACCTTGAAACTTCCTTGATTGCCCAAAGTTGGCTAGTTTTGTGCATGCCTGCGGAGGTGTGCGCCTGTCCCTTGGGCTCGAGCCCTAGCACACGGTCAAACTGCCAACAGAACTGAACAGCCTTAGTAAACCCAGGCCGCAACCGAGCGCGGCGCACTTGATCTCAGCGCGATTTGGACACCACAAAGAGTTGTCTCGGGCCTCAACTTGCGAACCATTCTGGGCATGCGTGTGCGTGTGCGTGTTCGATCCTCTTTCAGGGTTTTCGTCGCACGGAACCCTGGGTTTGGAGCGTCTGCACCATTGGAATGCTGACCTTTGGCAACCAGTGTGTTAGTGTGTTGCCCTGGTGTTCAACCGCATAGCATGGGAGCCTGGTCCCTAGTTCCAGCCACTCAAATGGGTTGTGAGCGGGTGGGTGGGGCATGCCAAGGCCCGGCCGCTCAGGCTCTTGGGGGGCAAGGTGTACGCTTCAGGGCGGTTGACTTTTGGAAAAAGAAGACAGGGCTGGAGATTTACCATGGCTTCGGAACAGGTGGACTTGCAGTATCCAGGACATTCGCAGCATGGTTCTGAATGGGGGTTCGACATCGAGAGCAGCGCTTTGTTTCGGTGGCTTAGTGATTGAAAAGTGGCGAGGCCATTCTGAAGGCATGTCCAGCAAGTCAACTGCATCAAAGCTATTTTGTTCCCGAGCGCGTGCAGTTGTCGCTGATTCAAGGCCGTAACAGACATCATTTGGTTGAATGGAGTAAGCCAACGAGCACGGGCAACATCAGAAGTGTCGTCAAACCACCATTTGTGAGTCACCCTTAAAAAAGGGGAGTCTGGTGTGGTTGCAATCTTTAATCTGCTGAAACAGCAAGACGATGCCGAAATCCATCAACTTGTCTGGCTTGCCAGGCAACACGCTATTCTGAGATGCTGACGGGGTCCTAGTCGGCTGCATAGCGTTCTAGGATCCGCTTTTCATCGTATCCGAGATGGAGTTCTTGAATTCCGGAAGCGAAATGCACCACCGCGTTCGCACGCGAAGTGCCCAGAAAAGATTATGTTTTTTCGGTGGCTGTAGGCACTGCAGCCATGTTAATTTGAGGTGGAGTGCTGGTTCGCAGCGAGATGCACAGCATGTTGATTACCAGCATCTCATCTTGTTGATGCTCCTTCTGAAAGAACCCAAGCGGCCAAGCTGCTGCTCGCCAAGCTGCTCCTGAACTTGCACTCTACTTGCATTCAGGCTTTCCCTGGAAGCCACGATAATGTATCCCGGCCGGCTCCTGGCGGCATGGAAAAGCACCAGGGCAACGGACAAGGTGTAACGTTGCCCGACTTGTTGTGATTCAGATTCAGGCGCGGAGGCTCACTGACTGGGCGAATGCAAGCAACTCAACACAAAGCCGCTGACAAGTTGGCTTGTTCAGCGCAGAGGAGACTTGCTCAATCTGATGTTTGTTCCCACCTGCCGATCTTGGCTGAGCTTGAAAGGCCAATCAACTGTCAGACTTGAGCCAGTCTGGTTGGATTGTACTACACTGCGAGGCAGTTGCTTTGACTGATTGACCCGAACGCGGCTCCCCGTGCCGTAGCTTAGAGAATCCGTGGCTTGTAGGCGGGACATTGGCGGATGGGAAGACGGGGGTCTTCACGTTGCATTCAGTAGGCCCCTCTCCCGGCCGAAGGTGTTCAAAAGGACGCTGATTCGCCAGCTTTGTTTTCGGGAAAAGCCGTGCCTTTTTCGGTGGGCATCCTCTAACTGTCTTGAGGGTCACCCACTGCACCACCTACACCGGGGGCACAGTGGTCCCCTAAAAAGGGTCCATCATTTTGAGAAGCTCTCTCAAAGGCACGACACAAAGACACGGACATCTCAACCACTTCGGCAGGCCCGACGCCCGCACTCGATTCGGGATGGCCGAAGCCAAAGAAGGCACGTGCGGGCCTTGGTGACGCTGAGAGTCCAGAGCCTCGGCGCTCCACAAAAGTGTGGAGTCGTTGGATTGGTGAACCTGGTTTTGACTCCAAGGCCGGCTTGCTTTTACCACATCTAACAAGAAAGTAGAAACTCAGGAGCAATCTAAAATCTGAGATCATTCAAACCATTAAACTGGGTCGGAGAAGTGCGCACAAGAGGTCCCAAAGAGAACCCTTTCAAGTTACAGCCCGTGCTGTCGGAGCGGAACTCCGAGTTTCGGAAACACCGAGTGGGAGAGTTGAGGTCAGAGCTGGAGGCCTTGCAAAGGTCCATCTCAGAGAAGGATGAGGAGCTTCAGTCGGGGACTCGGGCCTCAAGCCTCAAGACGCGAGGATCCTTTGATTCTTGCGTAGTCGGAATTGTCCTCTTCCGGGGCTAGACAGAGTATGAGACACTGCGCAGGTTTGGTACCTGGCCTGAGGGAACCTTCTCCTCTTTGTCAACTCCGCGCATGGGATTCATGCCAAAAGAAATGAACTACTTGCTGAAAATTGCCCCGTGTCCGCGCGCTATAGGACATGGCGTATCCGGGCCCTCCAAGCAGAAGCAGAGGCCGACCGACATGGTGGCGTTGTGAATCTGAGTCAGAAAAGGTGAACCGCTGTTAGATTTATTGGGCTTATTCACTTTACTGCAAGTCTAATTTTAACCTACTAAACCATCCTTTTGTAACAGGCTCTTTGAGCTAGCTACTCGTACCTACACATGCACTCTGATCTCAGGATTAAGTAATATCATGTCAGTTTCGCCAATTAACCTGTACGTGACATGCTCGCAAGACATAGCAGTTCACAAGTGAGAAGACTAGAAGTCACCGATAACTTACATCCGCACCTTGTTTTCAAGCGGATCTTTTGGCTTTTGTGCATGCCAACGGCATGTTTAACTTGCAATTCCTGCAAGTACATGGCATTTCCACTTTAACAAGTAGCAGGCATTCCCAGCATGCATGTTTCTGGTAAACATATTGGCAAGCTGAGGTTGCTTCACGTTTTTGAAGGGAAAAGGGTCTTCGATGCGTAGAATTGCATTTTTTTTTGGCAACCATCCGACATCTCGTTGTCGCTTTCTGCATGCTGAGGTTGTTTCTGAGGAAAAACACAGTTGTCCATTTGTTAAAGCCAAATTCCCATATACAAATGCAACGTGCTCATTGGCCGCAGGGCCTATGATGGCGATTCGCACATGATTTCGCATGCGTTACCCGGGCACCAGCCCGCACACTCCTGATCAGCCGATGCAGGTGTGCGCGCGTGCACGCCTACCTTAACAAGCTCACTACGGAAGCTCCAAAGGGATCCATACGTCACGACAAACCAGGTAAATTGAAGAACGCACTAAGTGAAAGCTAAGAAGACCTGTAAAACGATGCGCGTGTAAGGCTGCCAGCTGAGGCAAATCCAAAGGCCCAAAAGCCGGTTTCCCGAACATCGAGCTTGTGGTGAAAAAGCCTTTTTTGTCGTCTCGATTTTCACGAATTCCTTCCATTTGCCCTTGAAATAATCTCAACTCCGAGTTCAAACTATTGTGACAATTAGACATCAAGTTAAAATGGCTTGCACCACAGGTTCTCGCATCTCGGAGGGCTGGGCAGTTGGGCGCAATATATATATATATATGTATATATATATATATATATATTATTGGCCCAACTTGTATTTTGCAGGAGCAGACTTTGATCAACACAACATCTATGTCCCCCTCGGTGAGGTTGGTGCTGGGGACGCAGATGCGAAGAGATCCGCGGCCACAGCTTTCGCAGGTCCGAGCCCTGAAGCGCACCCGGCACTCGGCCGAGAGGCCGGGCACTGGGAATTTTCTCGGGGGGGGGGTCTAAGTCAGCTAACGTGCAATACATGGTATGAAATGGGAAGCTAGGGACTCCCTTCCACAAGAAGCCTAAGATTTCTCAAGAAGCACAGTTTCAGCAGCCCAATCTTGCGGTTGTTTCTTGAGCAGGAACCCTTTTCAAGCTCTCGTATGTCGCCCCAGGTTTACTGAGTTGAACTGCGAAAGTCCGCGCCCTCTCAGTTGGCTGGACAATTGATGGTTATGGTCTTGGGTGACAGTGGTGTTGGCTCATGCTGTGGGCCATGCCGGCTGTGAGAGGACGAATGATAGACATGCTTGTTTTCTGGAACGTGCATAAAACTCAGCAGGGTTTAATGAGGTTTGGGGCCACTGACTGGTGTGGAGGGTCTAAAAGTCCTGGATTGGATCACAACACAGCTTTGTAGTGGTAGGTCTTGATCTTGACAGTGCTGCCAGATGATACACGTAACCTGACAGTCGCTTGACATTGACAGAAAAACGAAGGTTACAATTCTCTCGCAATGTGTTCCTCTTTTGTTGGGGATGCGGCGCTTGAAGCTGCCTGGAGAGTGAGGTAATCGAATGTAAACGAGAATTTATGCCTGCGACATGCAGGCCTGCTGCACTGAGCGAGCCCGACATGCCTCACTCCCAGTGTCAAAGGTACTTGGAGTCATGAAATGCTTGTTGCTGTAGGGAATAAAGTGCAGCAGTTCAGCTACCTGGACAAGCCTCCCTTTGCTTGAATCAGGAATACCCCAGAGGAGACAATTTGTTCTGCTTGCGATGCTTGTCAGAGCGGTCGGGGATGATTTGTCTCTATGTCTTGACCAGCAATCCCTGCAAGGGGGATGCAGGCATCGATGGAGCTAGGGTCAGAATGCTCTGGTGTGGTGCGCTTGTAATCATAATAGTATCTTCTGGGCATCCATACACCTGCTGAAATCTATGAGGTGTTCCACTGTTACATTACACTGTGAATGCAGAGATCAATACAAATCAGTGTAGAGACTTGCAACTTGACTGGTGGGCGAGCATTACCCGGGGCGGGCCAAAAATGATCTTGTTGAGCACATGTTGAGCGGCACGGATTTGGGTAGCTTGGATTGCTTGCGTGACTTCGGCTGCCTGTGTTCCTGCCTGAGCCCATTAAGAAATAAGTCAGTGCTTTGCAAACCGCATCAAGAGTGAGGTCTGACAGAGCAGACAGCTCGCCAGTTCGTCCATTGCAGGCCCACGGCTTTTATGGCGGCTTCGCATTTTTTGTTTGGGAATTCGAGGGAGGTCACCCGAGTTGCATAGTGCCACTATCAAACGACCTACTCACCCTTCAAAGAGTAAGGACGACCATGACAAAATGCCTATCATGCGATCCGTGACCACCCCTGCTACAAGGAGTTTTGACATGGCACATCATCGCACAGCTTGTAGTTCAGTTGATCGCACCTGCTTTCGCTTGCTTGCATTTACAGGAGTCGGGGTTTGTTCTGTCTTGTGTTGAGTCAGTCCCGCACCCTGGCCAGGCACTCAGAGTAGAATCTGCGACGCAAACGGACATGCCGGCCGCCGCCTCGGTGTGCCGCCCTGTTGTGACCTGAGTTGAGGAGTCAGAGCCAGCTGACCGGCAGAGTTGCTGTCTCCTAAAGTGGGCAAGTGAGAGACACTATGTTTCAGCTAAGGGACTTCTAAGTGCACCAGCTGTGTGGAAGGAACCGTGACAAGTATCGGCAGGGCACCTTTTCCACCACGGCTTCGCATGACGGCCATGTTTTCTTGCGACACAGCAGCTTGTCCCGTCGCAGATGAATAATGGCATCACGCACCGCAGTCCGGTAGTCATTTTGTCCCCAAGTGTCCGATCGTTCCGTTCTGCTCCCAAGCCCTCGGCATTTCCGTGTGAAGCTCAGGGACGCGAGCAGGGCCGGCGTGGATCTCAACATGGCCAAATCCGAGAGACACAGATGCCGAGTGCCCTTCTTCCACTCGGTGTGCTTTTAACAGAGTCCTTGGTACCAGGCCACTTCGCAGACTCTACTTTGCTGAAAGTGCATTTTTCAGTACAAGCACAGTCTGAACAGGGTGAAAGTCACTCTGTGCTGTAGCCCAACATGACTTAGCGGGTGTTGATGCGAAAGCACTTGGGGATAAGCGTTCCAAAGAAACTTGATGAGGAACACATATCCTGAATTGCTGAGGCAGAGCCAGCAATAACTCAGCATCCTGGGTTGTGCCAAGTTGTCCCACCAAAAACTTGATCCAGTGCATGTTGTGCTGGTGTGGCACCAGCCAGCCATGAGCAAAGCTCTTGTTTTTACAGAAGAGTTCATCAATTCATCGAAC